CTGCTGAAGAGCTCGGAGGTGAGGGCCTGGGCTCGCGCGTGGAGGGCAGCAGTAGCAAGCGCTGAGGTACCCTTTGACCCCGGGAGCCTGGGGACATGGTCTCACCATCCTGATGACAATGCCATCCCAAGGTACAGTCCCAAGAGGCAGAACCAAGGTTCAAACCTGAATATCACCTCCAGCTCCTGGACAGGGAGGGGCCCTGGAACAGGGGAGGGAGCCATGAGGACTTTGTGTCCCCGAAGTTCCCCTGGCTGCTCCTGAGCGTCCTCCATGGTGGGGGAGGTGCTGAGCCTTGGGCTGGGGTCTCCAGCTCCCTCCCCCACTAGCACTCACCAGATCCCCACTCTGGGTGGGGCTGGCTGTGTGGTGGTGGGGCAGCGGGCAGCTCCAACATCTCTGGAAGGCACCGAGAGTAGGCTCAGCCTGCAGGGGCCGCGAGTGCCCCTGAGCAGTGCAGGCCAGGTCAGACGGGGAACTCGTGATCACAGGGCTGGGACTGGGGTGCAGGTTGAAGGGGCAGAGCTGCGTGAAGGCTGCAGGGAGGCGCCGTGGTGCAGTGGAGCCCGATTGCTCCCTGCATGGCCCTAGGCGTGTCGCGTCATCTCTCCGGCCTTGAACCTGGGCAGTGGGCCCCGGGCCTCTGGCCTGTGCCAGGGGCTGAGGGAATCCTCAGGCCAGCTCCTCCCTCTGCTGTCCCAGGGCCAGGACGCTGGCACCTACACCTGCACCGCCGAGAACACCGTGGGCCGGGCCCGCCGCCGTGTGCATCTCACCATCCTGGCACTGCCCGTGTTCACCACCCTGCCTGGGGACCGCAGCCTACGCCTTGGGGACAGGCTGTGGCTTCGCTGTGCAGCCCGGGGCAGCCCTACCCCCCGCATTGGCTGGACTATCAACGACCGGCCAGTCACGGGTCTGGACCCACTGGGGCGGGTGGGACAGAGACCTGGGACCCTGGAGTGTCAAGGGGGAGGGCAGGTGGGAGACCCAGCCCAGTGCAGAGCCAGACGCTGTGGGCCAGCCCTGTGCACTGAGTCTCTGCACTCGCCCTGTGCACTGAGTCTCTGCACTCACCCTGTGCAAGGGACGGGGCAAACCCACATGAGACCATCTGTGACCAGCCAGGTGCTCAATCCCAGACACCTTAGGGCCTGGGGCAGGGGGCCCTATGTCCTAGCCCAGGGTCGCTCCTCCACTGTGGGACCCTTAGCAAACCCCTTCCCAGGGGCTTCTGGCCTCCCACCTGGGAGCCAGAGAGACACAGGGCCTGCTGGGTAAATGCTGAACTGCTGGTGCCTGGCTCAGGCCTATGTCCAAGTCCAGGTACTGAGAAACACCTCTGTCCACCTGTGCTGAAGGCGCGGCTGGGCCCGCCCCGTCCTGGGTGGGTGATTCAGAGCCAGCGACTCGGCCTCTCTGAGTCCAGATTCTTCGTGTGTCACGTGGAGCCACCAAGGGATGCAGAGGGCAGGATGAGCTGCCATGGAGCTGCGCTGGGGCCGCGCTGGACACCGGCCTCGGCCAGGGCCAGTGCCCAGTCTATGGCCACCATTATTCCCGTCTCAGGGGCACTGTCTCGCCCACAGCGGGGAACCAAGGTTGGCCGAGCCCTCCTGTACTGGAGTCAGAGCAGTGCTTCCCAAAGCCACATGTTAAAGGCCCGCCAGGCTCACCCCCAGCACTTAGCAAACTCGGGGTGCCTGGGAAAGAACAACACAGGCTCCTGGACCGCATCCCCTGGCACGGCCCACACCTCCATGAATGGCTCTGACCTGGCCAGCCTTCCCCAGGGGAATGGGCATGCCCTTCTGCCCATGCACCCTTATTTAGCACCTGCTAGGAGCCCGCTGAGCCTGAGTGCAGCGACTAGGGCAGGAGGTCCCTGTGCCTGGACTCAGAATCTCACCAGGGAATGGGTTTCTGCACCACAGAGGGGGTGTCTGAACAGGACGGGGGCAGCACACTGCAGCGGGCGGCGGTCACCAGAGAGGACAGTGGCACCTACGTCTGCTGGGCTGAGAACAGCGTGGGCCGTGTGCGGGCAGTCAGCTTCGTCCACGTGAAGGGTAGGCACCTGCCCAGGTGGCTGTCCTCTGAGACCTCCGTGGAACCCAATCTATTGGTGTTTTAAGAAATGCCTCTCTCCTCCGACATAGCGGGTCTCTCATCAGGAGGCCATCAGAATCCCGGGGGGACTGGGTAGACTGCCACTGCCCGGCTCCCAGCTCCCTGGGGCGGGACTGGAGCATCGCTGTTTCTCGTACTCACCAGACCACCCTGACTACAGATCCGCTGGGAATCTGACCAACTGACTGCAGCTAGATGGTGCTGGGATGGGAGGAGGGGATGCAGCCAGGGCACCATTCCAGAAAAATGCCCCGAGCTTGCCAGCCTGCAGTTACCTCCTGCAGCCTGGCCCCCTGGGAGCAGCGTACCTGTGACGCCACACCATCTTCAGAATGGGCGGGGCCTGAGGAGAGGACGAGCAGCTCCCAGGCACCAGGACACAAACACAGCATTTGGTAGATTCGACTGCTGGAGGCCAGGAAGTGGGGGAGCCGGCGCAGGGTGTCGGGAGGGTTTTGAGAGGCACATGGGGCTCTTAGTGTGGCTGTGGACAAAGAGGTGTCCTGATGCTCCCGTTTCCCTAAAATGCTCTTTTTCCAAGTGGCAAGTACTCTGCAGCTGGTGTCATCTACTCGTGAGAATGAATACATGACACACACATCGCTGTGTCCTTCCTGTGCCCATCTCAGGCATCACTAATCGATCACGGCACTACTCCCATTCAGCTGGGGCTCCTCTGCTCAGTTCATGCTAGCCACCCCCAGTCTATGTGATGGGGACGCAGCTTGCCATCCCTGACGCACTGACTACACACAGCCTTGCTGGGCTAGCAGGGCCCTCTCTAGGACCCTGGAGAGAGTTGGGCAGGCCTTTGGGGATGTGTTCCTCGGAGTTAGCACCTGGAAGAAGCCTCTTCCTGACCACTCATTGATGTCACCCTTGCAGAGGCTCCAGTCCTGCAAGGGGAGGCTTTCTCCTACCTGGTGGCACCTGTTGGGGGCAGCATCCGGCTGGACTGTGCGGCCCGTGGAGAGCCAGCGCCAGACATCCACTGGAGCAAAGATGGCCTTCCGCTGCGGGGCAGCCATCTCCAGCACCAGCTGCAGAATGGCTCACTGGCCATCCGCAGGACCGAGGCAAGGCGGGGCTGGCACGGGGATGGGCCCAGGACGACCCTGGCCTTTTCCGACTGCTCAGGCGGGTTCTTCCAGTTGGCACCCTCCTCTCGTCTACAGACACTCTCCAGCTACTGCCTCGGGCAACCTCCAGCTGGCGATAATTTTTCCATACCTTAGTCACCACTCCTATTCGCTGGGGCTGGTCAGTATTTCTGCCTCGTAGGTTTCTAGTGAGAATCAGTGACATGACCCACGTCGAGTATTTCAGAGTGGTCTGTGGGTAACACCCCAAATACTACTGTGACGAACTCTGGGGGGCAGGGTAGGCAGGTAACAGTGCCCCCATTTTACAGCTGAAGACACTGAAGTTCAGAGAGGCCCACAGCCAGGAAGTGCAGGAGGCGGGACCCCACCCCAGGTCTCCTGATTCCTGCTCCGTGCTGTTTCCAAAGCCTGGGGTCAGGAAAGTAGCCCCCTCTCAACTTCTACCGTGTCTCAAGTACCAGTGGCTATGCAGCAATCTGCGAGGCAGTTCTGGTGCAAGTTCACCGTGGGGGATTTGAACTTGTTGTTTGGACAGTGGAGCAAACAGCAGCAGTAACAGCAGCAGCGGTATGGCTCCTGCCCAAGTCCTAGCTGTGGGCACCGGGCCTCTCACTGAGCAGGCGAGGCTACCAAGGCTCCATGTCTTAGCTGCACTGCCACTCAGTGGACCTGGGCCAACACTCAGTGGACCTGGGCCCATGTCTTCCTGAGTTCATCTCATGTCCATGGTCAGGGGTGTCCTGTGAGCAAAGCTTCCTGGGCCACCAAGGCTAGAGAAATGCTAGAAACTGTCTCCCCACCTCCACCAAGCCTTGCAGCGTAGGGCACGGAAGGGCCTTGAGAAGCCCACAGCACAGAAACAAGTTGCCTAACTCAGTGTTTCTCCAATTTTAAGTTGACCCTGGAGCTCTTTTATTCAAGGAATTTACTGTGCCAAGGAATCCCAGTAGTAAGAGAGGCTGAGAAGCTCATGGTGGTCAAGGTCCTGCGTTCCCACATGGCTGACCACAGTTTGAGTCTCGAACCTGGAGGCTTGCAATTCATGCCAGGCATGTGCATGTGCGTGCCCAAAATCCCAAGAGGAGAATGGAGGAGAAGGGACTGCGGCATGGCCATCCCCATGGAAGGGTGATTTCTCATTTTCCCTCTGTGTCCCTGACTCTCTCCTGCAAGTGCAAGTGCTCTAAGGCAAGCACAAACATAAAAAAAAAAAAAAAAGTTCATGGAGAAATTATCTTATATACGAGTTCATTTTGGTGCAAGAAAAATTCTGGAACCCAGACATAGCTTTTTCCAGTACACATTCTCCATGAACTACGTGAAGACCCCTCACGTGTCAGTGCACGGTTTGGAAGTGGCAAATCTAAATCATGCTTTTTCCAGCAAGTGGTCGGTGCCTTCCTGGTCCCGGAGGTGAGAGGGCTGAATTGTCAGTGAACGTCTATGAACACATGGCCCCGCACCTTCCGATGCATGGTGGGGAAGGCAGCGC